CCCCTGCCCAGCGCCGTCCGCGGTGCCCTGGACGAGGCCGGGCGGGCGCAGGCGCGGAGCGCAGCAGCAGGGGGCAGCATTGTCGCGGCGGACGGGCAGGGACTGGCAGGCTCCGCGGGGAGGGCACCGCGGCCCTTTGTGGGTCTCCTGTCACCTCCGCGAGGTGCCATTGTTTGCCCGCGACCCCGTCGAGCGGTGAGAGTCGCCGCCTGGGAGCCGCTCGCGTGACCACCGGGCGCGGTTCGGGGAGGGGGAGGCTGCAAGACTGGGGCGCTGGGACCCCAACCCCAAAGCGAACACGCACAGGGGAGTTCAACAGCAAGGACAGTGAAGCAGCCGCGCGTGGAGCAGAGGGCGAGGGTGCAAGGACAGTGAGTGGAGGCGGCGCTCTGCGGGCCCGGACGCTGAGGCCGGGAGCCCCGCTGTCTTGGGGACAGGACCCCGCCCCACTGAGGCCGGGGGTTTGGGTCCTGTTCCCTCTGAGCCTGGTAACCTTCCACCCGCTGAAGCCTGGTGGAGAAGGCAGTGAGTGTCTGTCCCCTCAGAAGAACCAGGGAACCTAGCGCGAGGCTGAAGTCACAGGCATTGCAGGGACTACAGGCCGAGGGCACAGAGAGCAGGGGCATCTGCCTCCCACAGCAGGGCCCAGCCCAAGGCCAGGGGGCTGTGGGGTGCGGGGATGGGAGGAGGCCGGCCCTCCCAGGGGCAGCTGACTTTGCAATGGCCACAGGCCGCTTCCCTCCCGCAGCAGCCCAATTAGGCCGGGGTCTCATTGCGCTGGGGACGCAAAGCGCTACCTTCTCTCCCTGACTGCTTTTGCTTTTGTGCTAATGTGCACATGAGACATCTCCAGTCCCGATGTAACCTCCAGTCTTGACAAGCAGCTATGCACGCGTCTGTCTGTCGCGCACTGCACACGCAGGTCCCTGCCCTCTGCAGTGGAGTCAATTAGTGGTGATTGCATATATGCCTAATAGTTCACAAGGAGCCCCTTCCATTAGGGTACACCCAGCTGCCGCTCGGAGGCCGGAGAGTGACACCACTGGGCCGGGACGCAAGTTCTGTTTAAGATGATGCCAGGGCGCAGCTCCCGGGTTCATTAAATTGGGCAGTTTCTCATTAAACGTGCAGATTGACAGTCGGAACTAACTGTCGTTTGTGGCTTCCTCACAGTCCCCCCTCCCCAATAATAGTGTTTTTTTTTTTTTTTTTTTTTTCTTTTTGCACAGGTGATATTACATTCAGAGTAAGATGGTGAAATTGTGCTTGTTCTGCGGTTGGTAGACGCCAGCGTCCATGAAAACAGCAGCCTCCTGTTTGTCTCTGACTGTCCTCCCCCCCGGAGAAGGGGACTCTAAGAATAGTTAAACCCAGACTGGAACCTTGGTCTCTAGCGTTGCTAGTTAGAATCAACATCGTAGCCACAGTGGACCTGACCTACCTGAGATGGAGGTCGGTGTTAATTATGAAGCGACTCACGCTAGGGCTTCCCACTTGCTTAGCGCTTTTAATTCATGCGTGTATTTCACCTTAACTATATCCAATAAATCCTGTACGGAAAATTCTTCTTAATATCACTGTGGAAGAAGGGTCCAAAAATTAACATCTCTTCGTGGTTGGAAAAGTGACTTGATGAAGGGAAAGGACACACTCATTACAAAAATACCATTTCCCTTCACAGATTTGAGGCCCCTGGGTGACACTCTTTTGCATCTTAACATAAAATATGTAATGCAGAACCTTCTGGTGTTAACAGATAGCGGCCAGAGTGCTCTGCCCTGGGCCTTTTGCGAAGATGCTAGATAGTCACGCCTCAAGGAGTGTAAAGAAAATATTTCTCCCATAAATACGGGGTCCTGCTCATCAATGAGAAGACACTCTGGAAGGCACTGTCAATAGCAAATGCTGTCTGGGGGCAGAGACACTTTCCTGAATTAAAAAGTCACGTATGTGTGAGACTAGGCACATGCATTTCCATGCTGAGAAATGGATGTCAGTGTTGGAGAAGCTACAGGAAACACTCCTTAGAAAATAAAACCAATCTTCCAGAGAACCACCCGCAGGACCCGTTCATTCATCACTGGCAGATCTCCGGCGAAGGAAGAGAAGGCTTCCAAGAGCCCGTGCTTTGGGGGCACACGGCCTCCTTCTGCACTTCCTGGAGAGCTGCCTGTGTTCAAAGAAACCAGAGCTTTCTTCCCGTCACGCCCCTGCTTTCCACGCAGAGCACTTCAGCTGACAAAGCGCTGATTTTCAGCTCTCCACCGCTCCTCTGGCTGTCAGGAGCTCACATTTCTCTCTTAAGGTAGATCCTCTAAGGCCCCTGGAGCGACTGTGCATTTGAAAGCACTTTGTCTGAAAAGCTTTTTCTCATTCTTTTTTTTTTTTTTTTCTTATTCTTTCACAGGGAGAATTTATTTCAGAGGGTTGCTTTGTACTCTTTGTGTATAAATATAGAGAGATAGAGATATAGGGAGAGGAGAGACAGAGACAGATAGAGCTCTGCGGTGGCTGCTTCTTCTCCGTCACCTGCTCTCTGATTTGCATGTCTTTCTGCTGTGCTCTTCCCTGGGGGCAGGTAGAGGTATTCTGGGGCTTTTTGTGTATCTCCGACTAACCTTGTCAAGTGCTTTAAAAATAAATGATTAGAAATTGTTGAAAAAATATTCACCTTTGTCCTTGGATCTGAAAGTTTTACTTGAACATTCTTTCTGTGTTCAGCGCAGACCAGAGGAACATGTGCAATCTTAAATCAACAGTATCTCAGTGATCTTGACATTCGTAATTCTGCAAGTCAAGCCAAGATCAAAAACAATGCCCTCCTTTAATTATGTAAAAAAGTTTTCAATTCATATCGTATGAAAGAACCCAGAATATCTAAAAGTATGTTAGACAAGTGAACTTGGCAAAAAATAATTATTTAGGAGGATGTGACTAAACCCCTGAAAAATCCTCCAGCTTAGTTCAAAAGAACATGGAAAAATAAATTTGTCTAGAGAATTTCTCATGGTTTTGTGCCCATGGTGGATTTGCTTTGGAATATAGTTCATAAGAAAAAGCTCAGAAGGAAATTAAATGATTTTTTACAGAGCTTCATTTAATATTGTAGTTTTTTACATATGTAGTTCAACAATGTATGAGGTTAATTGTATAATATTGGCATTTCAAAATAGATTGCTCAAAAAGTGACATCAAGAAACTAGGTAGCTATCTAAAAAGTTAAATCCTTAAACCTCAAAACATTTAAGATAGTTGGAATTGTACACAGTATATTCTCTGGCCACAATGAATTAAATCAGAAATCATTACCTGGTAAGTGTACAATGCCTTAAAATTTGTAAAATAATCGCAACACAGTAAAAAAAGTCTATGTATCAAAGAAGAAATGGGAATTAAAATATCATAGGAAATTAAAATACCTTTTAAAACAAATTATAATTTAAATATATTATATAAATATGTATAGGATGTACATAATGCAGTGTTTTGAGGGAACTGTGTAGCATTAAAGATTTAAATTAGATCTAAATTTAATAACATAATGATGCATCTCAAAGTCTTAGAAAAATAAGGACAAACCAAACCCCAAAACAGCAAGGGGAAAGATAACAAAGAGCAGTGAACAAATAATTGAAATAAAGACTAAAAGAACAATATGAAGGACTAATGAAACAAACAGTTGAAAAAACAAAATTGACAAAGCAGAGCCCTTGTACCGCCTCCAGCAAAGCCACACATTCTGGGAATTACAGCCCAGATAGATCAGCACTGGAGGGACATACCCTGGTAGAGGAACTCTCCAGCATAACAAGACAAGAAAAAAGCAGGAAATAAACCTATGGAAGGTCAAAAGAAAGAAGACTGTCTCTACCAGGACTGGGAGATCACCTGACTATTCAAACAAGCAGGAATACTTCTGGGGGGAGTGTGAGTCCAGCAGTGTGAGCCGTGAGTCGTTGTACGTGAACGCATATGCAAAACATCAAGTGTGATTTTTCTCTGCTAGCAGTGCACACATAGAAAATTGATTATTTTAAGTAGAACACAATTTTTAATAGTACCAAAACCTTGAAATGGCTTAGAACATTAAGCAGACTATTTCAACTATTTAAAAATTTTAAACTTTGGACAGAGAACTCAAACGAGATCAATATTTTTAAAGGTACTGTTCATACATTGGAAGGCTTTATTTGTTGAACTCAGCAGTCATTTCCAATATTTTATATGGAGAAACAATAATTGAAAAACTTAAGATCCAAAAGTCTAAGACAAAACAACAAAAGGGAAGAAAATTTTCTTGGCATCGAAAGAGAATTTTCAAAAGCTACAAACTAAAGGGCTTTTCTTCCTCTGTCATGGAGACAGACACCTACACATGCGCTCTTGCTATGAATGTGTATTTCTGCAATGAAGAAAATATGAAGTTATGTTTTCAAAGGTCACATTTTGGGACCAGGAAAAAGTGACCTATCAATTGATATCTATTCTGGTAAAATTATTTTGTTCTGCACACGGAAATTAAGTATCTCCCCGTATAAATTCCACGTGGGGAAATTACAAGAAGAAGAATTTCTACCAGTCAAGCAGTGACTCAGGAAGCTAACCTAGAGCATATGGAACTAAGGTTCAGTCATGAACCTGGAGCATATGGAACTAAGGTTATGATATTGAGTCAGGTGAATCAGTGATCAGAGTTCCATGCCTTTCCTATGAACAAATAAAGCCACTAACCAAGACTACACCAAGAGGAAAAAATATTATAATTTTATGACCAGCTTGCCCCTCGAAATGAATATTAAGAAAAGTTAAAGATATTTAACACAATAATGGTAATGTTGGAAAGACAGTGTTATTGATTAATATTGGTGGCAGTGGAGGACAGGGAAGACCAAGAAAACCTGATGGCCTAATATTGCTTGTAGGAGAGGCTAGTAGACACTGCCTAAATATTTAAAAGACCAAGTGTACTACACCAGTGGCAATGGCAAAGGGAAGCAATAGAACAACAATAAAAACACAAGACGTCATAAATATCAGAAAACATATTCCTAGAAAATGCGCACGGGAAACGGAACCTAAAGACTTTTAAAAGTTCTATGAACACAGAATATACAGAAAACAGTCTTACAAAATGACATTCAAGTATATTTCTTATTTGAAGAAGTGGAAGTAAGCACATTTCAATCACAAAGTAAAATCCAAGCTTACTATGCTTAAAGGAAAACGAGTCTATAAAGATTGAAAAACCAAAAGGGAGGAGAATGTGGTAGGAAAAGGGAATAAGGACCAGGGGTGCAATCTTAATATCAGACAAAACCAATAATGACTTAGGGGAAATCAGTAGAAAAGACAACAAGCAAACAAATGAACAAAAACCTGAAACAATGAATGAGTAAAAATAAGCTGTAGCAGTTGTGTGTATTTCTGTGTGAAGCAGCATAATAACTTTATTAATGAACCCTAAACTGTAGGACTTGGATAAACTAGCAGTAGAAGCTGTGGTGCTTTCTGTCCTCTCCTCGTCCGTGGCAGGCTAAGTGTCAGGCACACATGAATAAAAGTCCTAGTAATGTAACTAAGAAGGAAGATCTGTGTCACGTAGAACAAGTGCCGCATCCTGAAAACGGAGAGCGTGCCATTTCCACATACAGTGCTGGCGCATTCACTACCATTGCCCGTCCAGTAGGGCATAAATAAAACATGAGAATTTGCAATGCTTTTTGTGTTTCACCGTGGAGTGTAAGATGGCCTTAGATAGAGAGGGGCACATTTTATCCATTAGGAAATGGGCATCTGTTCTTAATTTATTAATTTTTCTAAAATGGTGAATGGTTGTTGAATGTTTCCAAATGCCTGTCAACATCTGTGGAGATGAGCACAAATTTTTTTCTTTCAGATCTTTTAATGTTATGAATTAGACCAGTATATTTTCTAAAAGTCAACTGTCCTTGCATCTGGAAGAAGCACCAGTTGATTATTAGATGATCACGTCTTTTTATGTGCTCTTTGATTTGCTGGATTTCCACTTAGGATTCTGTGCCAGCATGTGTGAGATTGCGACACATCTGTGTCAGACGTCGCCCGTCACTGCCATTCTCCTCTCATCAATGCCGCTCAGCGGTAGCCCATGCAATTAGACAAGAGAAAACAAACAGATGTAAAACTTGCTGAAGAAGAGATAACCCTGTCACTACACAGTGACATTGCTTCCGGGGGAAGAATGGATCAGGTGAAGCTGTGGCCAACAATATCACAATTCAAACATCAAAGTTTAAATTTCACATGGGAAATAACAAGCCCCAGATATAAAGTCACTACAAATATATTTGGAATGAAACAAAAAGTATCTATCTTAGGTAAACTTTCAAATTTCTTTGAAGAACACAAAGCCCTGACCCAGGAGAAGACCTACACCTGTGTTTATGAGACCAAAAACTTGAAAAGGGAACAGACCTAAGAACACCTGCTCAATAAAAACTATAAACTTTGAAAAAATTACTCAGAAATGACTGAATTTGAGGAAAATTACTCAAATTAAATATATATCAAATAGCTACATCTTGGACCGGGGATATAGCTCAGGGCAGGGGATATAGCTCAGTGGCACAAGTGCCTGCTTCCCAAGCACAAGGTGCTGAGTTTCATTCCTAGTACAAAAAAAAAAAAAAAAAAAAAAACCCAAATGGCTACAACTTAATTTACAAATTTAATATAATGTCCATAAAATATACCGTCAGTGCTTGAGGAAGAACAGGTTCACATGGGAGCTAAGATTCAGACATAGTATGAGAGAAAGGTCAATAGGAAATGAGTAGTCCTAAAACATGTGAAAAAATTCTCATAAATCAAATAGTATGGTATAGGCACATGGAAATAGAGACAAAGAAAGTAAACTGAAATTCAGAAGGAGTTTGGAGTACAACTGAGTGACATTTAAAATGAGAAGAGGGGCTGGGGGTGCGGCTCAGTGGTAGAGCTCTTGCCTTGCATGCAAAAGGCCCTGGGTTAGCTCTCCAGCACCACATACATAAAATAATAATAATAATAATAAATTTGGAAAAAATAAAATGAGTAGAGTCAGACTTTTGAATAAATAACATATGAAATTATGAATATTGCCTTCATTCTTCATATCACATATCAGGAGAATTCCTGTAGTATCCAGAAATCTTACCTTTGGATATATAAGGATTGAAAAGAGTTGAAAGTAGGCAATTGAAGACTTATCTGTATAATAGTGTTATTGTGGCAATATCCCAGTAGCCAAAAGGTAGGCATAACCCCGATATCCATGCTGCAGGCATGGACAAAGAGACTGTGGCATAGGGAGACAGTGGAATAGTATCCACCTTGCAAAGGACAGGAATCTTGCCATACGTTGCCGTGTGGATGGGCTTTGAAGATGTTATTCTAAGTGAAACAGATCAGTCATAAAAGGACAAAGGTGGCATGATTCATCCCCATTAGAGGTATCTACAAGTGAAACTGAGGGACAGAAAGTAAAATGGTCTCTAGCAGCTGGGAGGAGGGGAATTTGGAAGTGGCTAAGCAGGTATGGAGCTCCAGTGCTGCGTGGGAAAATCGAGATCTGGAGATCAGCTGCA